GTGTGTGTAAGAGTATGTATATATGTATGTATGTATGTATGTGTGTATGTATGTACATTCCTGTATGCAATCACGAATGTATAGGTATTTATGTATATTTAAGGTTTTGTCAGATATTTGTGTGTTTTTAACGAATTGTGTGCTGGTTTTTTTTATTGATGTGTCTACAAGTATACAATCACTTCTAATTAATAGTAGTTTTCATTCGGAACAGTTTCTCGGCTGTCTGCCCAATTGTGCCTGCGCAAATAAACATCGAAGAACTTAGTTGACAATCCGTCATCAAAGGCTGGGCAGTCTTTTAATGCAAAAGTAGTGCAAGACACGAACACACACGCCCATGATACTCATATCGAGAGGAGGCCTGGGGGATCTTTCTCATTGATTTTACTGAAATCTGCTTTGTAGGAAGAAGAGATGTATTCCGAAATAAAATTCTTCCCAGATACAAGTTTGGAGAAAAATCCGCCTTTGGTAAGTTTTTTCTGTGTGTGTTGCGCGTTACTGCAGCACCGCGACGCATTGGTATCGTTACATGTGGCCATTCCCCATCCTCCTAGACGTTCTGTGCTTGATGTCTAACTGCTCCTGGAATGTCTGGCTGATACCTCTTGAGAGTGCTTCTGTATACTAGGAGTATGATGTATATTAAAAAATAGGAGCCTGGGCCGAAGTCATTAACTCTGCGGATCACCACAGGGAGAATACAGAGATGTGATGGTTGCTGCAATTGATGCAGCGGCGTATCAATGTCTGGTGCCTCTACTCGAGACAGAGGTGGAGATCGATGACACGCCGACAGGCAGCGCAGATGAGATGAACTACGAAGCATTCAAGGACCTCGCCCATGATACACCCGGAACGTGCTATAAATACGTATGTAAGCTTCTGATAAAGCGCCTTGTCGCACGTTTTGTAGCATCTAAAGCTGAGTTTGTTACTGAAGCACCATGGCAGGGTGTGGTTGTGAATGAGGTTACGGTTTGGGCGTGCGACTGTTGATTCATTTAATATTGAATCTAATTTCAAAAACTTGTGATATGCGTATGTTGATATAATGACTACCAAATGTTGGTGTGGGGTGTGGGCTGTACATGGTATATAGGCTCTGCCGCATATATAAGACGGCATCAAGGGGTTCGTGTTATTGAGCCACCACTAAACGCGCAGCCCCCTTTTGTATATAAAACCGATAGCTATTCGACCCAATATATATTTACTGATATATTGAGTACCAGAAGTTAGTTTGGAGTGTGTAGAGTACGGTAAGTACAAGGCAGCTCTATGCTGCATATATTAGACTGACTGACGAGGCCTCGTCGGAAAATTGAGTCTCTGCTTTATACTTTCCGTTTTATACATATCCGATAGAGATTAGGCCCAAGCCTGTGTATTGCAAACACGTACATATATATACATATATATGTATATGCCTATGTGTAAGTTATCAATCTCTCGCATTCGTAAAAACAAACACGCACTCTACAGGCATCCGAAGGATGGACATACGAGTACTGTGAAGGTGAGCGAATCAAGCAATTTCATCACACCGACGACGGCACCACATTATCTTACACTTTGGGCAACTTTGAGAACGCTTCGTCAAAGGTACGGTATTAAAAGTGTGCATTGCCGCCAATGCTCGCGCAGGCGTTTAATGTGATATATATATATATATATATATATATCTATCTATCTATCTATCTATCTATATCTATATCTAACTATATATCTATATATATATACTTCTATTTTCACACGTACACAAAATACAAAAAGAATTTGTCGTTAATTAATATATTTGATTGGTGAATTAAGCTTAGTATTACTCCAAGGAAGTTTTCCATATAGCTCTGTGCTGCTATGTGCGCGACTATGAATATCAATCACACCACCTGTGCTGAATCCTGGACTGTTTGATGTCTTGGGTGTCCTGTAGTATCGAACAATCACTTCCAACCACTTCCAACAACAGTGTACAGAGTGAAAACAATGTCGTTAAATGGCAGATCCAATGATATATCTCATGGTACAGTCAATTAGAAGATATACTGGCAGATTGAATCATTGGTTTTAAAAGTAGAGCCCTACAATCATTCACTGTGAACCCATGGCGTATTCTATGCGCTAACGTTTTGGTCTGTTGTGTTTCTAGGGACTACCGTGGTCAAGCAATGGTACGTGGATGAACCCGTCGAAGTGTCGTTGCAGATCACTTACAAGGGTAGGTTGGTTGGAACAGCTCTCTCTGCTTCCATCAACACGCTGGCAGCTTCACGATCATCCTGTGGGAGGAGTGGATGTAAGTAGAGGGATATGAGTGTGTTGTTGTATTATCATGTGTATGTTTAGTTGGTGGGATAGAAGAGCAAGGTGATTGTTCGTACTGCCCGATGTCGTTCATATCTTTGCAAGTCTGTGTATTAGGGCTGGTGTAACACCTAACAACAGATAAACGTGCGTACTTTATTTAGAATCAATATGTATTTTGATTACCCCCTCGCATACTACAAGATACCCGAAATTGCACCACAGCTTATACATGTTTTAGGGTTCAAGCGTATGAAATTATAACTGCATGACATCGATAGAGTACATATGGCTACTGTGTCTTCTCTCATATCTTCAAATCTGCACAGACTCTCTCACACTTCGAAAAGTATAAGACCCATACGCATAGCTCTGAACAAGTTCTATACTGTAGAAACACCTAAACCCTCAAACTCTCAAGCATCTGCCATGTTTCGCGTGCATGCCGCGCATTGACTGTGTACTATCGCACTCCTCCGTCACTACACAGTGCCCTATGACCCGTACTTCAAAGTAGAGGGTGCCTACAGCGAACAGTGCGAGGAGGACGACAGTCTCTGCAGTGTCGGCGACCTGAGCAGAAGGTGTGTCTGTCTGTATGTGTGTGTGCATATATATATATGTTATATAATTATATATATATATATATCTATATATATTGTGTGTGTGTGTGTGCTAGGTAACCACTGTCATGTATCCCCTGTAGCGGATGTTTTGGTCTACGCACTGTCAGGCACACGAATGGCATACGCGGAAAGGCACAACTAGACCTAAACCCTAAAAGATCCAATCAATGCGTGATATTTGTACGTAGGCTTACGCTAAAGTAGGACAACCTTTAAAACCCCTAAACCCTATTGTATACGACATCCACTACCTACTGCACTGACTGCTAAGGAAGCCACGCGTGCACTGTACTGATATCTTATGCTTTGCATTGTTTCCTCTTTGTTTGTCCATCCTCTGGGGCAGTGCGGGATCTCTGAGTTCAGACAATCTGGTGATGAACTCAGCCTATCTGATAAATGCCGATGTCAACAAGTAAGTGACCTGCGCTAAGGACCGTATACCCATTTTGTGTAGAACCGGGACATAACAATTGGACCCATGACCCTATTTTAGGTGCATCTTTTTAGAAATTTCACTCCCATGCAGGCCCCCATATTTTTAGTGCGTTAGATGTTCTAAACCCTATAGCCCTACTTTGGCTCACGTGTTTTATTCCGAATTCTTATTGGCTGAACCGAGTCTAACTGTGGGCTAAAAATAGATTTTGCTACGGTGTTTCACTGCATCGTGTATGGCTCATCTCCTCAGCACCTCAGAAACCTTGGAAACATACCTCCACACAACCCTACTTTGCACCAACCGCTACAAGCACAGACCCTCTCCACTTCCGATTGATCCGATTGTTTCGATTTCTATTTTCTTTTCAGTCTGGAGAATAAATCGTTCGCCATACACAAACAAGACGGCGAGAATATCGCGTGTGCCACTATCACCAAAGACGCAGTGGGACCAGACTACACTGCCAGGTCAGTTCCGCACTGCACATCTCGGTGCAATGTACTGCATTAGAGCTGTGTACGTGTGTGTGCCAATATATATATACATTTATATATATATATATATATATATATGTGTGTGTGTGTGTGTGTGTGTGTGTGTTGCTCCGAACAATGAGCACGATCGCTTGCCATGCCCAACTAACAGACTGGTCTTCAATGCGTGCGTTGTTGTTCTCACACAAAACACACGAATCCCCTCAACCAGGTTTACGGGCGGTGATCTGGTGGGCAGTATAAAAACCTCAGCAAGTGCCAACACGGACGACGGCCTCCCTGTCACCAATGTATGTCACTCAGAAGTATCGGACAGGGCCTATTAGTATCGTCCTATTACATACATTCACCTTTCTTTAAGCTCTGTATTAGCTGGATTGTATATCCCGCCTGTATGCTAGGCGAGCTCATACTCTGTGTACCGTGTCATGTGTGAGCGACTCTCAGACCCCTCTGCATCCCTAGCTCATCCAATTGCTCTATTTCTACCCCGTCCTTATATGTTTGCTGTCTAAAACGACCCTCTAATACCCTACAACCCTACTGTTCACTGTCTACGTGTGTGCTTGATTTTGCCTGCAGTGGTTTGGTTCTGTATTCACAACCACCTCTAACCCTAAACCCTAAAACCATTTCGTGTCTCTGCTACTCATCTGTGCCACAGGTGATGGTTAACTTAGTCAACCGTGTGGAGAAGTTCAAGGAATATCGATGGTACATCCGTGATTTGTCCGTCCCCAATGGCCAGAACTCCATGTGCGGAGATCTAGGGCCCATCTACGACCCGGAGGGCAAAATACAGAACAGGTAAGTGTGAGCTGTTTTAGGGTTTAGGGGTTGCTTGCCGATGGCAGATAAGAATGTACTCTATAAAGACATTTGAGGACGAAGACTGATTATACACATTCATTGTTGAGCGTCTGTCGCACAGGTAGCTCTTTCATCTCTTGGTGTCCGAGGAAACACTCTGACGTCTTCAGTGTATCAGTGGGGCTAAAACTGGAACAAAACATAACATCCATTCCGCCGTCCCCCCCCCCCCACCACACACCATCTTATACAATATATATATCACCTTACACGACCTCCCGACATCCCCCACAACCTCTCCTCAGCTACAACACTGGATGCGATGCCGATGCAGTCAACTGTGCTGTGGGCGATCAACTGCGACGTATGTCCGGTGATCTGCGTGTGGTGGAAGAGGTGCTGGATCTACAGGTACCTACTGTTATACGTGCACGTGGTACTGAACTGTATGTGTGACTCGTATCTTCGGCATTAGCTGAACTGTATGTATGACTCATATCTCTGGCATATGCAGAAGTTGTGAAACGTCTGCTCCACCTTTACCGTTTTTTCGCCGTGTGGGACGTACCAACTATCTCAGAGCGACTGTGCCAAATCAATCAGTAGCCCAAAGTGATACCACTCTGTACCAAATCACTGCCATCCGGCCCGCATGGCAACCGTCCGTTGCTTCTGCTCCCAATGTTTAGTATCTGGTTAAGATATCAAGTGTGATGTTTAGTCTCTGGTTAAGATATCAAGTGTGGCTTCCCTGGTCCAGCGCAACCGCTCTATATTCCTCATGCTTTAGTTAGGACACTCGATACTGTAGTCTTGCACATATTTTTAAGGCACTGTCCTGCTCAGACCACCCACTCCCCGTTGGGTTTTGGGTATAGAGTTGTAGAGTTCCCTGACGATGCTGTACTCAACCACTCACTACGTCTCCCGCGATGCCTTCCACAGGGCCACTACACAACCAAACTGGCCCTCACAGCAGTTGTTCCGGTGGAGAGCATGCCGCTGTACGGCAAGGACACCATTGCCGGACGTTCAGTGGTGGTGCTGCAGAACGGCACATACATCGCCTGTGCCACTCTGCAAGCGGTGGATATCCGGGTAGGTAGCTGCGCACACGCTCATGTGTTCGTATGAGCGCCTGTCTGTGTAGTAAAGCACCAACAGGCATAGCATGCGCGGCAGAGGCATTGTCTGTATGTTAGACGAGTGTGTGTGACATATAAACAACCTCACATTAAACGTTCAACTGCGTTCTAACTGGCTCATATCCTTGGTCGTCTGGCCTTTCTCATGCACTGCCTTTTCTAGGACCCCGATGACTACGCAGGTAGTGTGGAGGAAGACCCGCGGCAGTTCCTGGTAGACAATGGAGTGCTAGAAGAGCTTGAGCACGAGTACAACCCCCACGTGCTGGGTATAGCCCTGGGTGTGTTGTTTGGTTTGATTGGGCTGGTGCTGTTCATTGTACTCATCTGCTGGGATAAGCGTCGTCGTGAACAGGCCAAGGAAATGGTATGTGGGGCGAGGCAGGGTCTGTGGATAGTACGGTGTATGGTTTTAGAGTTTAGGGTCAAGGCACTGCTGACGTTCTTTAATTGGTATCGGATTAGTACTTGATTGATATTTAATTGGTACTTCATTGGTGTTGAATTGATAATTAATTGGTATTGAAATGGTATTTAATGAGCACTTTATTGGTATTTAATTGGATCCCTGGGCTACTCCATGGGACAGACAGACCAGCGGTCTCTGTGAATGACATAGTCAAACAGTGAGAGATTCTTCGGGCGTGTCAACAGCAGCTACTATCGGCCAAGCAGTTCTCCTCTGCACAATACGCTACAACAAAGTTCAGACATATCTAACAGAACCGTTACATACCCCACACACTGCAGAAATCGTCTCGGGGTTCCTACAACGATGACTCGTGTATGTCGGTGTCGCGTAAGTCGTCTCTGCCCAGGAATTCCTTGGTTGCTAGAACTAAGTCCTTCATTAAGGTAAGCTACTGCAAGGGTTGGCATGGGACTGTGCTGCCTCGTGTCGTGTAGTGTATATGGCTAGTGTCAACATTGCAACAGTTGATTCGTCTTTGGGGAGCGAATGTCTGGTCGTGGTGCGGCTGTTGTTTGGTTTGTATCCATTTCAAGCCTTGCCCTTGCGTCATAGTGTGTCATTCAGGTGCATCCAGAGTGTAAAGTTGTCCACTTTCTATACCTCACAATGCACCTGCTATAGTTTTTAGGGCTTCAGATATATTATCTGTCCTTCCAATGTCTCACCCCCGACACCACTACCACCACACCGTAGTCCAAACGAAGCAGTGGTAGTGTGGGCAACACACACATGGACGACATGAGATCAGCAAACTCAATGGAGGTGCCTGACACCCCCCCCAAGAGCCGCACAGTGGCCGAAAGGTCAATCAACTTCTTCAGTGCGGCAGCTGCAAAGTTAAAGGTAGGATTGGGTCTCTGCGTAGGGTTTTTGGGGGATTTTTATTTTATTTTAACCCAGGTAACGATTGTATAGCATTCTGCCGGTGTGGGTTGTATATAGCTTTGACAGTTCAGCTGTGAGCCGAGTTTGCGCTCAGGTCGCCATGGCAACAGATGACTAATATTCATAGAAAAATCGGCATATGTGGTGGTGCTCTTGCCAATTGGTCCACTCCCACGGTTCATTAGAACGTTCATGACAACACTGCGATTGCTCTCAACCCTAAGCCCTAAGCCCTTGACCTAATCGTTCACAGTATGGAGAACATTGCGATGCGAATCAGTCACGTGTTTTATAGTAGTGACAAACTTTGCTTGGCCCTTTCCATTCGCTTATAGTCCAGCAAGAAGTCTGAGGATCATCAGTACGACAACGTTAAACAGGGACCTCCCGCCTGTGACGTAAGTGGCATTTGCCAAATGCTTCGCTATGTTTTATAAATATATATTTATTTATTCGATGTTCTATATAAATATATATATATATAGATCCCTTCCACGCGTTGTCCAAATTATGATTGCTGTAGCATGCGCAATGCAACTTCTCTGCTCTAGTAGCTCGATTTGTTCACTCCGTTTCCTTGTGAAACGTTCTTAACTGGCGAGGCCTTAGAGTTTAAGGCTTAAGTTAATCCCATGGTTTTAGATTTCGTATCAAACACCGGCTTATTCGCAGTCTTGTTCGTTTCTCTTATAAACCGACAGGTTGGCGATGACTTTGAGGAGATCCGCGAAGTGACATACGCACAGACGCCCGACATTGCTCGAGGAGAGACCAATGCCAATATCAGCACAAAGCAGTTTGAGAACATGACTAGCGCGCCCGTTCCCGTTCATAGCTCACACGCATCCGTCACTGCGGGGCCCTCCAGCTACAACGGACAGTACAACCACCCGCCATACACCAACCGAGACAGTAGGTACCCCCACAACAGCCAGCAAGCCAACCCATCGCATGCGGGTGTACAGGACCCGTTGGGCTATGCCAGTAGTAACGGTCTAAGCGGAAGCAGCAGTGTGATATCCTACAATACCCCACCCACCCCACACGCACTCTCGGCCGAGTCATCACAGATGGGCGCAGCACCCGCTGCCCATACCAACGACGCTCGGCTGAGGTATCAGGCATCACCGTATGTGGGGCCCCAGAGATCACAGACCGCTGAGACGCCCTACAAAACGACCCCACAGCTGACTCAGAGGACTTCGGCAGACCACATGCCTAGCACACACTCACAGGATGCTGCGGGTAACCATGCGGCTGGTAATGGCTTCTATGATGTCTAGACCGTCGCACCGGCACAGTGTAACTTAAGGGAAAGTGGTGCATGGACAGTCCCATTGAAAACTCACGGGGGATCAGTTTGAAGTAGCGTTGCCTCACTGTATATATCCTTCAGTGATCTGGAAAGTCCCCAGAGAGCAGTCTTTGCTGTGGTCCTTTAGGGTTTAGATTTCAGGGTTTACTCGCTCAGCTAAGCACTTTTCTTGCACAGCAGCGACGGAGAGACACCAAAAAGGATAACACATTCAACCCACCAGGACGCAACTACACAAACTGCACTACACCAACATGTAAATATATAAATCGAAATTCACTGTGAAGATATGGTCGAAATAGTGATCGAGGATCAAACCACAGATAAAAATATCAGAACCTGCATCGACAATACATTGGCAAAATTGAGACAACGTCAACATATTTGTGTATAAAGATATATGATATATATATATATATATATGTATATGTATATAGCTTTAACTATATATGTCTTTATCTATATCTCTATGTATATGTATATGCATACGTGCATTGTTTATTTATATTTTTAATTATACATATATATATATATATGTATTTTTGTATG